CTTTTAGTGCAGCGCCCCATGCAATCATATAATGCATACCCACATCAAGTGTCATACAAGTTAGTGTTCGACTGTATATGTGACTCCATGAACTTTGCACGCTGAGTGTGTTCTTATTCGGTTATAAACAAGTCTGACTGTTGCAAGAAGACTCTATCCTTCATGCTTTCTTAGAGTCCTACAGACCTTTAGTTCTGAGTTATTGCTGATGAACGGCTCTGTAGGGGATACTGTTTCACTTTCCATTGATCCCTTTAAATTAAATTGTAGCTGATGATTTATTTTATCTCTCGATGCAGTCAGCACAAANCTGAAATTGTGACACGACACCAGAGGTGTCAAAAGTATTAATCCTTATTTTTAAGTAGAAGTATAAATGCTACTGTTTGTAGAAGTTAGAGTATCAGCTTGAGTTTCTATTGGGAGGATCCCCATTAGCTACAGCTATGCTGCAGCTATTCTTCCTGGGGTCCTGAAAAATATATACATTAAAAACAAAACAAAGAATACAAAAATAAATGAAAGGAAAAGATAATATATATACACATATCAACATACATATGTACCCTCATGCGGGCATAAAATATACACAAATATAAAAACACATTCTACACTTACACCTGTAAACATACCTACAGATATACATACATATTCGCACACAAATATAAATAAATATAACATTCAGTTATATTATTTTGATAGATGCTGTTTTACATATGATTTAAATGTATTGATATTATTAGCAAGCAGGATATGTTTTGGCAGATTATTCCATTCTTTCATACTATACCTCTAAACACAACTGTATTTTTTATGTCATTTGTTCTTATTCTGGGTAAAGTAAAATTACCTTTAGTTGCATGTCTACTACTGTACTGCTGATTTTCTACAGTAAAAGAAATATGCTTGAACAAAACAGAAGGAAATTTTGAATTAGAAATACATCTTATGAAAATTAACAATGAATACAACAATCTGTCTTCGACCAACAACCAATTAAGATATTTGTGCATTACTATTATGTTTCTCCTGTAGCTGCACCTGAGTGCTACATGAGCAGCTCTATTCTGTATAAGCTGTAATTTATTCCCCAGTGACATTTGACCAAACTGCTTAAGCTTTTTACTCAAGTAAAGTTTAAAACTACCTAAAGTATAAAACTTGAAATAATGCAGGAAAAAAATGTTAAGGACAGAACTTACTGCACTTACCTACTGACTAACTTTACTGCACTATCCTATTAAAGAAACATTTTTCTACAATTCTGGATGATAATTTCCTTATACTTAATTTTTGGTTTTAAAACTAATGTTAACAGTGTCAAATTTAAATTTGCATCATCTTGAATATCTATTTTTTTTTGTTATGTTGCAAAACAAGTTGGTGCAGGACAGTCACAAAGAAATTGTCTGGATGAAGCAAATTATTTTGATGGCTTTTGTTTTTTTTAATACCAACAGGCCATAACGAAAATCAGCTTAAATGTTGCAAAATTAAAGAGTCAGTTTACAAAATGTAAGGAGTTGAAAGTAGAGATAATTGCAAAAAAAAATGTAAGGAGTAGAAGTACAAAGTTGTCTGAAAAAGAATTACTCCATTAAAGTGTAGACAGCCAAAATTTCTACTCAAGTAAGGTAAAAAAAAAAGTATTTGTACTTTATTACTTGACACCTCTGCACAACATTAATGTATTTTTATGTTATCATTTGTTTTCAGTAACTGTAAGTGGCAGAAAGAACTAGTTTCCCTTGTTGAAGTGGACGGTTATGTAATGGGGGCCAAAGAGGTGATGGAAAGCATTGTGTGGGAAAAAGATTCAAATAGGTTATTAAGCAGAGAAAATATTAATGGTGCTTCCTTTAATGCCAGAGATGCAGGTTGCTGCCTCTGACCTCTGATTTGCTTCGGTTTTTGTGCTCATTGTTATTTTCTTTCGAAAAATAAATAAATAAAACACCTCTGCACTCCGGAAAACCTATCACCCTTTGGCAAAGTGGATCGATGCTTGTGCAAAGTTGTGTGTTTGGCGGTTTGTGCATGCGCATGCACCTCCAACTTGTTGGAGAAAGGGTGTTTCACTGAGTGGGAATGCCTGGTAGGATGTGTAGGCCCAGGTTGCCATAGCATCCATCTGCTGCTACGCTCGCAAGAGTTTGCAGACAGCCCACGCGCTGTGACATCCAGCATCAAGCCGGTCTTAGAGGGAAAAAGTAAAGCTATGACTGAGCGCTAACATTAAAAGAGCCAAAAATAGGCAAACAGACAAAGCGATCTTGTTTCATTTTAGGTACGTGAATAGGTACATACGTCCAGAATGAGCTTCTTTTAATGGCATTTCCTGTTGCAGTGAAGACAGACAGACGTAGGAGAGGTGTGCAGCTCTCAGCACACAGAACAACATTTTGGCAAAATGAGGAGCGAACAGAAGGTAGCAAAGCGGCTTTAAATAATATGCAGCTTGACATAAATTCCTGCAGAAGACAAATATGAGATAAAAAAAAAAACAACTTTAAGACAGCAGGTAATAATTTCTTACTGATGTGACAATGTGCCATAAAGGTTAAGAACCCCAGTGCAAACATCAGTTTATGTGGCACACGCCATACATTTCTAAAGCGGAAACAGCAAGAAAATAATACAGTTTTTAGTTTTAGTACACTGAAAATAGACAACTAATAAGCAAACTTTGTGACTGCTTCATGTAAGAGCACTAAGTAGCACCTTAAATCACACGATCCTAGCAGTGGTGTGCATGCTTAAACAATATTTAGAATAAGGCTACAACTAATTTTTTTTTTTTTTGCAAATCGATTAATCTGTCAATAATTTTTTCCGATTAACTGATTAATAATCGGATAGCCAAAGGTTCCTTAAAGAAGTTTTTTTTACTAAATTAAACCAGGTGAAACAAAAACTTTTCCACCCGAGGACTTCTGGATAGAGCATATTGACAGAAAACTTTTTTTTTATCTTTAATGCAAAATGTTTATATATTTTTTTACATTCTTGGTATAATTGCTGCTGATGATGGGTTACAGTCAGCTAAAGGCATGTTTACAGTCACTCCAATTACTAAATTAGTTAAGGATTATTTAAATAATCAATTAAACAAGATTAATCTGGTAAATAGTTTCGGCCCTAATTCAGAATTACAACAAATGTTCCTCCTGGGTGCCTGTGAACACATTTGATCCAACCTTCAAGCAGATCATCCAATCCAAGCCCTTTTGTTTTGTGGTTACTGTTATAATAATTTTCACAAGTCATCCTTTCAGAGGTTAGTTTACTGAAGGCTTATTTGTAGCTTTCAGCAAATAGTGATATAACCAAAAGAAATGCATCTATTAAGTCAAATAGTGAATTGGAAGTTGTACAGGATGCAATATCTCTAGACTATTCTTCTACCAATTGATTAACAGAGAGACAGACATCTTCATTTGCTATAAATGGGAGCCCTGATAAATAAAGTCAACACTTTCCATGGTTATTAAAATGTTCTTGGCTGTGCTTTTAGGCCTTTAGTTTGAAGACAGCCCAACAAAGGAAATTTATATACAGACACGATAGAAATAGTTTTGAAATAATACATTTCACTGTTAAACAAGCAAGAGTTCTTAGAATATCAATAGTACTGTCAAAATAAAACCAAAATGTAAAAGACTTCTATTTTCAATAACTTCTAAGGCACATTTAGCTGCAATTGTCAGGGTTGGTGGAAGTTGGGTGAGCACCCAGATGCAGAGATAAGGAGGCAGAGATGAGTTCTTGAAAATGTAATTAAAGAGGACAACAGAAACAAAATCCAATAACTGAAAACAAGATACCAAAAAAACAGGAGACACCAGAGAGAAAGAACACACGGGGAGCAAAGAAATAAAGATAAACCAGCACTGATGAGCTGCAGAGGAGGATATATCAGGGAAACAGAACCAAGAGTGGAGTAATCAGTTGATTGGGAGCAGCTGTGGAAAGAAAGAGCTAGAAGGTGGAAAAGAAACTGGCACAAGGGGGGAAACAGAAGCTACCTTCACATTGAAGCCTGAAGTGACCCAAATCCGATTTTTTTGCCCATATGCAACCTGTTTCTCATCTTTTCATGACAATCTGAACAACACAGATCCGATTTTTTCTAATGCGACCCAGGCCACTTGGCTATGTGGTCCTGAATCCGATACGAATCTGATCTTTCCAAATGCGACCTGTGTCTGAATGGCCAGGTCGCATCCATCTGGCCTGAACACCAATAATACCCGACATAGGTCACTATTCTGGGTCTTGCTACGCAGAAGTGGCAAGAAAAACAACAACAATGGTGGACGATAATGTGGAGAGCAGTATTTATGTTTAACCATCTTGGAAAGATTGAGTTTTTAAGTTGGGAAGGATAGCTAGATGTTCTCCAGCACTACCAGCCATGTTTACTTCCTAAAACATAGAGCACGCTTGCTTGTTACGTCATTGCGTCCTCTACTGCCCATGCGGGATGCTTAGGTTGTATGAATACAGTTCACACAGGAGATCACATGCAAGTCGCATATGTTTGGAAATGTGAATGGCAACACAAAAAAAATTGTATTTCACAAAAAAAATCGGAATTGAGCATCAAGGCCTGCAGTGTGAACGTAGCTAGAGAGTAATATTGTGGGAAAAAAACAACTACAAAGACACAAATTTACAGTGAAGCTAAAAAAAAAAAACTTTAAGAATGGTCAGAACCCTGACAGCAATAACCTCAGGTAGCTGGTTTCTGTATGACTTGATCGGCCTCTGTCATCTATTATGGAGGAATTCGTTATCCATGGCTTTAAGGTTGGTCAGGTTAGCTTACAATGCTTAGTCATTCTATTTCTTGATGTTCTTTCGTCTAAAGCAAGAACAGTTGGATATACCATAAAGCCAGTATTTCTGAAGACAGTAAGACTTGTTATCTATTTGATGTCTAATATGCTTTTCTCCAAATAAATGACAGATGTTTGGGCTTGTCTGATTGTGTCTTTCAGATGCAGGAAGTGGACCGCACCCAGGCAGGCTTGCAGCGGGCGTTCAGTGTCCTGGACCGCCTGCTGCTCACTCATCCTGTGTGGCTGCAGCTGTCACTCAACCAGGACTCCGCTCTATACATCCTGCTCAGAGAGCCTATTGGGGTAGATATTCAGCTGTCAGTTTGAAACTAAGCACATATCTTTTTCCTTATATTATTTTCCTTCTATAATAGATGCTATAGGGGTTTTTATTATTATTTACAGATTAATTTCCTGACGCTGTCTCACTTGATAAAACGTCAAATAAAGTTAATGCAATTGTAAGAAATTAAAAGCTGTAGCTGTATATTCTAGATCCAGCTTCAGCTTCACCTCTGTTTGTTGATTGTATGCCTTTTTAAAATTCACGCAGAATAAAGTAAAGCTATTCCAAACATGTTTATTATATTTTTGTTGGTATTTTCAGACTTTTCTGGTTCGTAAGTGCAGCTCCAGCCAGAGGAAGGTACTGTGTTTGAGGGTGACAGCTGACAGAAGTGCCTCCTCTGTTAAGGAGTGCTTCATCTGTGAGGAGGACTCCAGTGAGTGTGAAACAAGCCTGCAACATCCACATATAGCTACACTGGTGAAATGGGCAATTAAAGCACTAAAACAAATAAAATGTCTATTCTAAAAAATTCCCTCAGTACAGTAAAACCTTAAACAGTTCAGTCTGTATCGTTTTAAAACAACTCTCACTGTGAATATGAGAAACGGACGGCTGTAGTCCACCCTTCTATCAGCTGAACGGAATTACATCACTTAGACAGCAGCAAAGAAAAATGTGTTACTAGGTTTAACAATGTTAAAAAAACAAACATATTTTTGCTCTTGCTGAATCTCAGGCTGTTATTTCTGCTTATGCACAACCTTAGTGTTAAAAATATAGCTCAGTTAACTGCAGCAGAAGTTTGAAACTCTTCACTTTTTTAAACTCACATCATTTTTTTGCCTCGGAAGATTCATTTTGATCTGTTTATAAAATTATGGCACAATATAATAATTTAAGTGTTCACCAATAGTAACAAAAGATGGTTGATTGAATGATTGAACTTGCTGTTCAACAGTGAGTCATTTGCGACCAGTCATGGCAACTGTACAAAAATAAATATTAATTTGCTGCAGGCGTATGTATATGTAAAAAGTATTTTTAGTTTAGCTTAGTTGTACAGAAGTTTATATTATAATATCTAAAAGTCGTCTTTGGAAAACTTTCCTACCATCTGGCAGTAACCGATTTACATCTATAATTAATCAGAGACACATTTCTGTAACTGCAAGAAGCAGTTAAATGAAAATTTAAAATAAAAAACTTGAAAACACTAACCTGGTGCATATATTTAGTGACTTTCCTTTATGACAATATATTTAATCCCATACTAAAAGGTCTGTTCATGTTTTATGCAATCCAGACTCTTAAATTCCAGTCATCATGGAATCATGTCCTACATCTTTTAGATATTTACCTGGTCCAACAAAACGTGAATCAAATGGATTAATACAGCGTAGTTGTTAGGGTTTTACTAATGAATTCATTATTAAATTTAGCTCTTCTGAAGAACTGAAAATTACAACAGTTGCTGGAGCATATTTGCAAACTAACTCGACAAATCCTCTGTGCCAGTGCCAAATAATTTCTGGTGGAGGCAGTGTGATTAACCATCAAGACATCTAAATCATTGGAGATACTCTCAATAGATGCATATTTTATTAAGAGCTTTTTAACATTGTAATTGGATTACAGGTTAGCTTTTTAGTTGGGCAGTTTAAACATCCTGACAACAGTAGTCCATGAAATGTATAACTTTGGCAGTCCTACATGAGTTTTCCCTTTGTTAGTGCAGGAAATGTGATGGCTGCTTCATATTATTTATGACAGTTCCTCCTAAAATGAGCTAGCCTTTCACTGCTGTCAATCTCTCTTCTGTGAGCAGCATTCGCCTTGGAGAGCTCAGCACTCAGCTTCCCGGACTTGTGTCGTCTGGTGGCCTTCTACTGTATCAGCAGGTAATATATCATACAAAAATAAACCTTCATAAAGAAGATACAGCCACACAGATAATCCTGTCCCCGCATTTTGATCTGGACTGGCAGCAGTTCCTCATATATCCTGCAGAATAGTAACAATCAGGAATTTTATGCATCTGTTTTATATATTAACACTGCTCCCTGTACCTGTCAGAGTTTCCAGCTCCATCTCACAGCTCTAAAAGGTAGAAAATAATGCAGATTGTGTTTTCTGAAATATATCCTATATTTATTAATGTTTCCATTCACTTAAATTCAATTTATTAATAAGGCGCCAAATTATAACACCACTCAATGCACTTTATAGAGATGATTCAATTAAATCATACATACAGATTGTTTTTTAAGGAACTCAGCAATGTATTGCATCATTTACATTTTCCAGTCGTACAATCGTATTTTCTGTTTTAACTGTTATTTATAATTAAGTCAGTCAAGCTCCTGAAACATTTTAGTTTATTGTATGAATCCATTTAACTTCTAATTGAAAATGGAACCCAAAAAAATTAGGAGAAAAATGGAGGGATGATTCAGTATTCAATATGCAATAAAGAGCCGATTTAAACTCATGGTTCCAATGCAGTTAAACAAATTCTTACTGGAGATTTTTTTTAACTTAATGAAAGCATATTACTTCTAACAGATGTTGTTTTATGTCCAAATCATCTCTAAGAATCTGAATCCAGATGTCGATCATTTAAAATGTCCTTTTGTGTTGCCTTGATATTTCTTGATCTTAATATTTATGCTATCATATTGGGCATTATGTTATTAAATAGTTCCGTATTTTACTGAGCCTGATTTTTGATACGTATCTTAATAAATATTCCTTCTCTGATTCAACTTTAGATTCTCACACATACTTCAGTCCAAGACTATTTATAGACAGCATGGATGCTGCTGTGTCCTAAACTAGTATAAAACCCCTGATTATGATTGTATGTCAATCTTCATATCCAGAAAGGATTTCTCTTTTTAGATTTGTAAAAATTTTTCAGATCTGAAACATTTTCCCAAGTAGGTCCAAGCAACTTAATATATATATATATATATATATATATATATATATATATATATATATATATATATATATATTATAAGGGTGTGCAAAATAATCGTCATGACGATGCATCGCGATTCTCATTTTTGTGATCTACTGCATCGATTCTTGAAGGCAAGATTCAATTATTAAAAAATAAATAAATAAATAAAATACATATATGTTTAGCGCACATCAGTCAAGTGGAATACAACTTCCAGTACAGCAGATGTCGCTACGGATTTGTTGACGCCCGCTGCTTTGTGTCACAAGCATGTCCGGCCGTGGGATACTGCGACGAGTGATATGAAATAAAACATGGAGGACACTAAGAAAATTCACACCGCGGTTCCGTTAGATGCTTGGGTGCATTTTGGCTTTAAAAACAAAGAAGGTAAAAATGAAATTGATATGATGCACGTAATTTGCAAAAGGGAAAATATACATTTGAATGTTTTCGTTTCATTGGTTTAATGGAACACTGAGGCCATGTAAACGGCTCTGATTATCCTTATTTTGTTATTTTAAGTTTGATGAATCCTAAGATCNCGGAATGGCGAGTGGGAAAGAACAGGAGTTGGAAGACGCGCCAGCAGCACTTTATAGGTCTGCTGTATGGGACCACTTTGCATTTAGAGTGACCTACAATGACGGCGGAAAGAAAGTTGTGGATAAAAGTGCAACAGTGTGCAAGCTTTGTAAAACACATTTTGGTTATGCTAAAAGAAACATGATCAACATGTTATGCTAACCCCGAAATCCCTCATCCTCCGTCATGCTCTGCTCCGCTCCGCTTCGCCCCGCTGCGCTCCAGACCGGCTACTCAAAGCAAAGCCTACAGCCTCCACTGTGGCTCCCGTCTGCTCCGCTCTGAGTCCCTTGGAGATAGTAGAGAGCATGCGCAAGATGATTAAATTCAAAGCAGCAAAACATACGGAAATGATCCAGGGTTTCCGCGGATCATTTAAAATAATTACAATCCATTATTTTTTGGGGGATTTTTTCATTAATTTCAAAAAATTTTATGGGATTTCGGTGTAACAATCAACATATACCGAATCGAACCGAACCGAAAACCGTGACCATGAAACCGTGAATCGAACTGAACCGTGGATTTTGTGAACCGTTCCACCCCTAATATATATATATATATATATATATATATTTATTATTGTATATTCATGCCTAGATACCCACCATGGTTGCTGCATAAACAATGAAAAAAGCAAACATTTATAAAGCTTGGAGTCAGCAGTTGTTTTTTCTGTCACGTCAATTCAAATAAAGGTTACTTTTCTAAAATTTCCACTCAACTACCATCATCCAGCAGACTTTAATCACAAAATATCTCTTTTTTTTATTCTAACCATGGTTTGCAAAGAGTAACTGTTTACATTAAACATTGGTTAAGCAGGTTATGGTGTCAAACCTTCAACTTTTAATTGATGCTTTAATAACAGGGGAGAAAAAAAAACTTATCCAAAAGTTTTTTTGTATTTAATCAGACTAATTAAAGATGAGGTATTTGTTAAAATAAAGTCCCACACAGATGCTCCAGTATAATCTTTCCATTTTATAGATTTTCCTAACCAAAGTTTCTTCAGGTCAGTCTCACTAACATGCTCTAACAGGAGGTTAATTTGGTTAAAAAAAAGGATCACCGAAAACACACAGCACTATTGTTTTATTGTTTTTTTTTTCTTCAGTTAAATTGGACTCAGCTTTGACTCAAGAGCTCCTGTCAACAATTAACTCCTGTCCAACACACAAAGTATTCACGTGAAGTGCTTGGTTAAAGTTGCCTGTTTGCTCTTTTTTTTTTTTTTTATGATTCTCTTAGTTCTTTTATTATAAGTGTTGGAAAACCAGAAAAAAGTGTACACTCTGCCTCATAATTATGATCTGAAATAGGTGAAAAACATCTCATCTTATTTGTTAAACACGCAAGATGTCAGTTGACAGCCCTCAGTCAGAAAGCAGTATTTCATTTCTTTTACTTCGGTTACCAGACTCACTGAAAGTTGGACATCTAAAGCTTTTAAAGGCAATCCTGGGCAGAGGAAGCTAACTGTTTAGCTCTGCCAATTTTAAAAATAAACTGGCCAAGCAATGCATATCTTACTGCCTAACTCTTTGAGTTTGGCAGCCACATCTTAAACAGTCCCCCAACCACTGAGACTATAAATTGAATTTAGTGAGAGACTCATTTGAGAATCCCTGTTCCACTCAGATTCTTAGGATCAGATTATAAAATCATGAACTATTTATGGCAGCTTTTTACCATTTCATAAAAATTTTTTGAATAATCTTTTTTTTTTTTCTCCAGAGATGTCTTGCCATTTCCTCTTCAGCTACCAGAGGCCATTGCCAACGCCACAACACACCGGCAGCTGGAAGCCATCTCTTACATGGGGCAGGGTAAATCTCACTAATTTAGTCATAGAAAAAGTTTGAAATACATTTTTACTGTTTACATTTAATTTCAATCTGAAAAACTCACACGGAAAGAAAACAACAATTAGAAGAATTTTATTGATAATTGTTTTAAAACTTTGGCGCTTAGACCTTGGCAGGAAACATTAGCGCTAAATTTTACTTTAATATGCATAAGCAGGTGTATGAGAACAGGGACGTTTACCCCAGACCTGAAACTGGTGGTGGATTGGAGATACACTACCATTCAAAAGTTTGGGGTTACATTGAAATGTCCTTATTTTTGAAGGAAAAGCACTGTACTTTTCAATAAAGATAACTTAACTTTTAAGAAATACACTCTTTATATTACTAATGTGGTAAATGACTATTTTAGCTGCAAATGTCTGGTTTTTGGTCCAATATCTACATAGGTGTATAGAGGCCAATTTCCAGCAACTATCACTGCAGTGTTCTAATGGTACAATGTGTTTGCTCATTGGCTCAGAAGGCTAATTGATGATTAGAAAACCCTTGTGCAATCATGTTCACACATCTGAAAACAGTTTAGCTCGTTACAGAAGTTACAAAACTGACCTTCCTTTGAGCAGATTGAGTTTCTGGAGCATCACATTTGTGGGGTCAATTAAATGCTAAAATGGCCAGAAAAAGAGAACTTTTATCTGAAACTCGACAGTCTATTCTTGTTCGTAGAAATGAAGGCTATTCCATGCGAGAAATTGCTAAGAAATTGAAGATTTCCTACAACGGTGTGTACTACTCCCTTTAGAGGACAGCACAAACAGGCTACTGCGGGTACTATTTAATGAAGATGCCAGTCGGGGACCAGTGAGGCATCTGTTTCTTAAACTAGAGACTCTAATGTACTTATCTTCTTGCTCAGTTGCGCAACGCTGCCTCCCACTTCTTTTCTACTCTGGTTAGAGCCTGTTTGTTTACCACATTAGCAATGTATAGAGTGTATTTCTTTAAAGTTAAGACTAGTTTAAAGTTATCTTCATTAAAAAGTACAGTGCTTTTCCTTCAAAAATAAGGACATTTCAATGTGACCCCAAACTTTTGAACGTATAGATGAAGTTGGTTCAGTCCATAGACTGCTGGTTGGGGAGACAATCTGCTGGAGCTCTATTGGTGAGATCCAGTAGACTGTGTGCAGTAGACTGACAGTAGACTAGTGCTTTACTCAGGACCCGGAAGATAGAAGTCCAGCTTGGATAAACACAGGTTTGCATGAAGCTGTCAATGATAAGCGAACATAAAGCGACAGTGGAGAGGAAAAACTCTCCTTTGGGAAGAGACCTCTGGCAGAACAAGGCTCAACATGGCGGTCCTCTTCCAGACCGATTGAGATGTGATGAGGAATGCAATAGGTGTTCGGGAGGAATTAGACTCTGATAGGGACGAGTTTGAAGACACCCCATGGAAAAGCCAGATGGAATTAGCTATGATGGTGGAGGAGGGGATGGAGTTGGGTTAAGCTGGGGTCACCTGAGTCAAAATCGGAGAGCCGGGTAGCAGGCTGGCTTAATTATGAATTTAAAGACCTTTTAAGATGAACTCTGGATACTGATTGGGTATCGTGGAGGTGCAGTTAAAATCTGATTGGTTTGTCAGAGGCAGTTGAGCTTCTGATGGATGAGCGCAAGTAATTCAGTTTCTTCAATTGAATTTCTGCCTAGGCTTCATTTAGAATAATTCTTCATTGAATCACAGTGAGACATGCGATAAACAGTCAGATGACTATCATGTGTTATATACAGTGTGTATTACATTATTATGATTCCAAGTCAAGCTATCACCAACTTTCTATGCAGCTGTATATTTTCACTGCTCTCTACCTAAATTTGACAGTTGCCCTTTGTCACAACTAACGGTGAAGTCTATAATTTGTGAGAAAGTCAACTGTGGAAAGAAGTGACTGCCAGTCTGCATCTATTTTAACAGAGGAACATGTGCTGTGGTGCTGCAGCAGCACGAGCGAGCGAGGTGTGACTTCATGAAGACGAAAGTGGAAAGCAGATTCTGAGCGATGGTAGCTTTTCAAAATGGATCGGATGAAATATGAAAACATTTTTTAATTGGCTAAATAATTAAAGGATAAATCAACAATCTACATATTCAATACAGGCATTGGAATCAACTATACATCAACAGATGTTTGAAATTATGTTCAAAGAGGTTTATAGAAATAAACCACACATTTGACACCATTCTAGCCTTTTCTAGCCTCACTGTCTTGAGCAGAATTAATTATTTGTACTAGGAACAGTGGCCTTGTCAGATGGGTTGTAGACAGGGAAAGTTGCTCCAAGATTGTTACTAGGATTACAGAAACAAAAGATGTTGTATTTCTTTCACAGAAAATGTAGATCTGTTTATTTCAAGAAGGATATTTCTTGAGTGAAGGAATCAGAACATCTTTTATGTTCTTCATCAGTCTTTTTATTATTTTGCAATTCTTGTTCTCTCTTGCTTTCTCTGTCAGAATAAATCTCCAATACGTCAGGAATGTCATTTTAAATAGCTTTCTCCATATCTTTGCTTCCTCTGAATTTAGATTTTAAAACATTGCCAATGCCGAAAGTAGCTTCTTCTTTCAGTAACAGCATCAACACCAAAAGATATTAATGATAAAGCAGTTTGGTAGCTGATCATTTAGTAATTGTACATTGTGTACATATGTATTTAATGTTAAAAGCCCTTGTTCTGAAGGGAACAGTTGTAAATGTAAATTAATTGTCTTTCTCTTTAATAACTGAAGTTGTTAAGGACCGACAAACTGGCAATGAGCCTGAACCAATGTACAAAGGAGGTGTTAAATGAAGGGTGAGCTAAAAATGACTGTTAGCTTCCCCAAATAAATGATGTGACCCAGTGTAGCATCTGTTTGTAAACCCCAAACCCATCATGATGGAAGAGAGGTTTCATTTTCCTAATATGAACCGGTCTACAAATGAAAGGAAATCGTCTTATTTGGCAGATTTGGGAAAACTCCCCCAGTTTGTTCTTAATCCACCTTTTAGCTGATACCTAAATTTTAGCTGATAATTTTCTGAGCAACCTTACTCTTCTGTGTTCTTTTAGACTTTTGGAGCTCACCGAGTGCTGTCGACATCCAAAATGGGCCTTTAGGGCCTGTTGCATCAACCAGCAGCACCCAAGCCCAAATGGGAGGGACTCAAGACAGATGTTCTTTTATGACACGAGGCAAACAAGGCAAAGTCTGCTTCATCAACCCCCTCTTTCTTCAGTTGGAGGTTAGCAAGGTGAGCTAAGAATCTACTGAGATTCGAGAAAGGACTTTTAATACGATAAAAAAAATTGTGCTTAATTTCATTTTACATTCCAGCAACAGCCACAGCACACAAACCACAGCGCCTCCAATAAACGGCACCGCTTCAAGCGCAGCATGCGTCTGCGGCTTTCAGAGTCCTCCATGAATTTGTCCCTGGAAGGCGTGGGTTCCTACTCACCTCCCCCATCGCTGGAGCAACCTGGAGGCTCGGAGGGGCTGCACAAATCTAGTCCTAATCCTCAAAGAAGAGTACATGCAGGGGCTGGTGTCCTCAGGAGAACCCCAGCAGTATCACCTGGGTCAGCAGAGGAAGATGACATGATGGCAGTATATGTGCCACAGGTGGGTGCTGAGGTTAATTTTTTGAATTCAAATAAGACAGGGAAGAGTGTTTTCTTGAGGTTACTCCTATGTTTTGTGGTTGATTTTAAATTTTTGTGCAGGCTTTTCATGTTATAAATGAGAAGCTTTTCTCTCTTTTTCAAGACATCTGCTGCTGCTGATGAAACACCCAAGTTCCATCAGGAGGCAGGAATCGAGGGAACAGTTCTGGGCTTGGAGCACCGGCCAGCTCCGTCCTTGGCTGAGCTTGACAGCTGTAGCTCCTTTAGCAGCATGGATGACGAAAATGACTCAGATTCAGAACCAGAAAGCATGTCCCAGACCCAAACAAACACCTTCCACCGCCCTCCGCTCGTCCGCTCACGAGGCCGCGGAGGCCTGCATCGCATGAGCGAAGCATTTGTGTGTTTTTTTGCGCCTGACAAGCGCCTGACTCGACTGGTGGAGGAACTGGCAAGAGACAGGCGCTCAGTGTTCGGGGAGATGATTCAGGATTTCCTCCAGGAGCAGAGAAAGGTGCTTAAAACACTGAGCACCTCTTCATCATCTTCATCCACAGGTGTATCTTCAGTGCAGCTTCTGCAAGGTCTGCGCCTCTTCCTGTCACAGGCAAAGTGTTGCTTGTTGGACAGCAGAGAACTTGAGCCTCCCATTGAAACTCTTGTGCCAGAGAATGAGAAAGGTAAACCTAGAGAAACACACAAAACCCATGCAAATACTTTGATTCATCTGTGTTTGCACACATTATTTGTTAGTATAGTATAACTCAGTCAGTTTGGGAGACCACCTCACAGCTCAAACAGACCAAAGATCACATCTAAATATCATGTAAGTTTTCTTTCACACTGATGATGGGGTAGTTATTTTTTCATGAATTGATGCAAGTAATTCTACCCCAAGCATATAAACACTTAGTTAAAAACCATAAATATGAATTACACCAAAATATTAAAAGGGTTCTAATTTAAACCTGCTGAACTTGAGATTAGGATGATGACCAAAATTATGCTTTGGAAAGTGCTTTGCACTACTGCTGGGCTGTGTGTCATAATTGCACTACTGCTGGGCTGTGTGTCATAATTGTGTAAAAAAAAGGCTTTTTTTTTAGCTCTAAACTAAATTATAATGCTACAGTATCTTAAAATATATGTCTAAAGTCGTATTTAGTTTGATTCATTCATGTGTGAATCAATGAATTCGTTTTTTTATCAGTGAGCAGTGATGTGATGCAGAGTGTGATGAGTGCGACTCAAGAACAAGATAAAAAGCAACTAATCTGCACAGTGACAGCAACTCTTTTTTTTAAGCTAATGTCTAAATCATGAAAGTTTGCTTTTCGACCACGAGAGCTTTGGACTTTGTTTAGCCTTACTAAAGAAGAGCCATGTCATCAGTAGTGCCATGCTTCTCTAACATGATGAACACGCTTTGAAGGTACGTGTCTTTCTTCTGTGTTGGAAGAAAACAACTAATAAACATTTTAATACTAAATAATGCCAAAAGTAATGTTTGATCATATATATGCCTATATTTGACTTTGAAGGGCTTATAAAATCATTATGTAGGACATTTAAGAGAATGTCTTCCAGAATTGAAGCCATATCAAAGTCTCCTTATGATCCCAAAAACTTAAGCTGCGGGTAAAGCACTAAAGAAGAGATATAGGGGCCTGATATTCAGAAGGTTTGCATGTTTTAAAACAGGTGCAAAAGTGTTTGTATGCACAGAGCAGATCTTCAAAGAAAGTGTAAAGTGATTTGTATTTGCAATTCAAATATAAATCACCTTGTTTTGCATCTTTGCCTTTATCAGTATGCTGATCGTACTCTAATGCCCAAACCTCGATAATTCATGGTTGGAGAATATGCAAATGTAAACATTTACAAAATGCAAATTTTCAAAACTGGAAACTACAATGTGGCCCCAGTTTTAGTGTCTTTTTTTAGTACTTCAGGTGCCTTCAAGTGACATGCAAAAATATCTGTGCTCATTGTTGCCACAAGGAGGAATTGGTGAAAAGCGACAGTTTGGAGAGATACCGGTATTCTGTATAATATTTATGAAGGAAAATATTTATGCTTGTGGACAAACATTTGTTCAGTAGGACAGCAGATAATCTTTAAACAATTAAACCAAAATGGAGGGGGAAAAAAGACAAAACTTGACCCATAAATGTACAAAACAATAATCAAATGCATAATGGTTATCAACCTAAATTAATTTTATATTCCTACAGGTACTGTCACAGGACAATACTATTTTAGTTTTATGTAAAAAGTAAGAAAACAGTCATTTTCTACTTTCTGTTTGTGGTAAGGGCAAAATCGGAAAGGAGTAAAGTTGTTACTGTCACTACACATTCTCTACAAGTAGCACCATAAGCTTACTTGCACATGAGCAACCACATATTCATCCGGGTCGCCTTCAATTGCACCATATAAAAAGATCCAAATTAACTTTTTTGATCCCTACAAATATTAAGTGTACTAAAATACAATATGTAAAAGATTAATAATTGATTTTCTGCTAAAAAAAAATTCATTTAAATCCTGTTTTATCACTCTGTGCCCGATCCGTCCCAGAAATGGGTTCTTACACTACTTCCAGCAGCTAATGTTTTCAGCTTTGGATTTAAGCATTATGTTTGCCTTCAGTTTTACCTTTATGGTGTATAATGCCTAATCTAAAGAAAGAAACAACTAAAATTCATATAAATATGGGGAAATCCTACTGTCAGACTGTTCTGAGCATGTCCGATGATGACATCAGACAAGCAATTTAACAAAAAGAATGTAAAACACATCAAATTCTCTCAAGAAAAGTCATTAAAATATTTTTTACAAGGTGTATTTTAGCATTCTTTTGTGATTAAAGGGTAGAAATATTTACTTTTAGGACCATAATTATATTATTTACGGCAACCTGGCTGAATATCTGTCTCACTTGGCTAGCTCAAGTGGTAAGTCACCCATCCTGCAAACAGGAAGCCTGGGTTTGTATCCCAGCTGGGGGGATTGATCTAAAGAAAGTGTGGGTCCTTAGGCAAGACCCTACATGCTAATGCCTGCTTTGGGGAGTGACAGCCTAGTGGCTATGGCATTGCCCTTGGAATTCTGAGTTCAAACCCCACTCACACAGACTGGCACCCTGGCTCTTTGAGCAAGACATTTAACCCCCACACCGCTCCCCGGGTACCGCACCATGGTAGCCCACCCATCCTGAAGGGGATAGGTTAAATGCAAAGAGTTTGTAGCTCTGCGCTTGTGACTGTAATGACAATAAAAAACAATAAAACATGCGCAAATGAGTTGATGGTCAGATGTCACATAACTTAAAAACAAGATTATATCAAATTATAAAACAATAACAAGTTTCTTCAAATTAGGTTTGATGCAATAAATTCTTTAGTTTTTGTCTTCTTTTTTTTAATGAACACCCTTCCATCCACCTATCCCAGCTAATTTACAGAATTGTATGTTGAGATTAAGTTAGTTGCTCTGGAATAAAAATCTAGGCTCAGTTTCCCAGTGATGGATTTTGGATTTTGCACACATTGTGAGCTTGTCAGTCTAAAAGAATAGACCATGAGAGGAACAAGAAAATTATGGGGCAGAAAGACATTAAACAATTAGAGAACATTTAAGCTGGAGGCTAGGTTTATACAAACAGACATGGTGGGCTGCCCAGGCTCCCATGAAAGAAGCTGTCATCACAAAGCAGACCATGTAGTAGTAAAGTGTTGGCTGGAGGGGGTGGTCATGTTGTCTCTGATATTAAACAAACAGTGTTGGGATAGCCTGCCTTACACATCCACACTCACAAGCTTCCCGTTCAGCGACTGGCTCGTCTCTGTACTGTAAAGACATTACAGCAGGTTTCTTTGCAAGGAAAATGGTTGAATCTGTTGACACGCTGCTGTGCGTAGGATTTTTCTTTGTGCGTGCCTCACAGGTGTTTTTTGTGTAATGACGAATGGCGGTTGCCTGGCTGCCTAGAGACTTCGAGGTGGTGGGGGGTCTTAGCCTTCCGTCCATCCTATGTTCCTTCCTTCCTTTCTGCGCTGGGATTCTGATTTATCTCTCATTGCGTTGGCGGGAGGCATTTGCATTTTTTTTCTCCCCTCGTTTATCATAAAAAGATATCAGAGTCCCACGCTCACTTGAAAAGCTGCACGATTCACTGGAGGGTGGGAGGGAGACATAGAAATAGACAGGTTACTTGGAAAGTGTAATCAGTTACTGGTCTGTGAGTAACAGATTTCAAAAAATGTACTCACCTTTCTGCAAAAGCTGTTCATCTGTAGCAAAGCTGTAATCACGTTACATGTCATGAGTTACACTCCAGAGCTGGTAAATAAGAGCTTGATTTTGAGAGAGAGAGTTAGAGTGATTGATCACAAGGGGGATATAGTAAGGTAGACGGAGGGGAGAAGTGGGGGATTGTACAGTAGGGAGACATGATGGAGGGGGAAGAGAAGATTGATGAGAAGTGGAAAATTATTGAGTCAGGACTGCCCACTGCATGCACTGAGAGTGGCTTTACAGGCAAGAGCATGTGCATGGAGATTAGGTTATTTATTATAAATTAACATTGTCAGACCAGAAAAGACATAGTTCTTTTCAACATACGTGTGTGTCAAGGTTCAGAACAGAGGACCCAGAGTTCAGCCGGTATATATCTTTAGAGGACAAACTCAGGTTAGTGACCACATAACTCTGACAGAGGACGATAATGAGCGTGTTAGTCCTTAACCTGGTTTTAGAGTTTAATCTGTGCCAAGAAGAAGGAGGCTGCAGCTATACTAAACTGTGCAACTAACTAGAGTTTATTTTTTTACTAAAAATTATATTTAATAAAAAATAAACAATTCTTTGAATCAGCTTCATTGCGATCAGGCACTTTATTAAAGCCATACAACAGAGAAAACAAGCCGTTCCAGCTGTGTTATATTGAATCCAAATGTTGCCGTGAGAGCAGGATTGATTGATGATAAAAGAATCTGCCTTGATGTGATCCAAACATAGTTTGTTCTATTGGCTTGGACATCAAAGATTGTCCTGTTGATTTTTGTTTAATCTATTTACTTTCTGGATCGAAATTTGATGCAAAACCAGGTCCTTTGGATAATTAAACATTCCTTTTCCCGATCCAAAGCCATTCCTACAATTGGCAGCAGTACGATAGACCACTGTAATGTAATTTTAACAATCCTTTTAGAGTGCTTAACAATGCGTGATTCTATACCCGCGTCCGAGGATGTTTGACTGCACTGACATCACAGCTGTGTTTTATCACGTAACTGCTCTTGAGGTGCTAAAGGCGCCAAACATACTGTAAAATTATCTCGATTTTTATTACTTGGAGCATTTTTAGTGCGATTTAGACCACCCACATAGAGAAAAGAAAGGATAATCTACCATCACACATAAAACGATAAAACTGCTCAAGATGCACTCTTTCTATTTGAACTTTAAACTAACACTTTCAAAAGTTTATCAGGTTTACAGATTTTTCATTATTAAAAAAAATAATAGTTTTTTCAGTATGATATTCATGTAATAGTCGAGTTAGCTGCATGTTACCATCATCCCTAGATTTTTAACACAGTGGATGATCATTGAAAAGATAGAAAGCAGTTTTGGGATATATATAAAACCCACGTCCATTGTCTTATTAATAAACAAACATATAGTTTTTGGTCTTCATTGTTGTAACGAAAGTATAACTTTACTGTTAGTGGGAAAATCTAATTTTCAATGGCCTCGTTGCTGAACTATTCACACTTTTACCCAACATTTCATGAAGGAGAAAATAAATAGTGCCAATTTTTGAAACAACTTAGATTCTTTATGAAAAATATTGTTTGAATTTGTTTTCAAATTCAGAGTTTGCTTTTAAAGCTTTATTTTGTTGAGTTTAGTTTATTTTTTTTCAGTTCCTAAACTAACTACAGTAACTTTTTTTTTATTTGGATTTCTAATTGACAATCAAGACTGAGAGGGAAACAATAAGAACAAAGTGCTGATGAAGGTTCTCAGTCATCCAGGTCATAATCATTCCGTAAAAATTCAAAAAATATCCACTGGACTTGGTTTCCAAGATTTGAAGACGTTTCGCCACCTCTCCAGGAAGCTTTCTCAATTCAAATGTCTGGATCTGCAGTGAGTTTGAGTCTTATATAGACAAAGCCTTGTATCGCTTGGAAACATGCAAATGGTAACCGATCAATGGGTCGTTTGATTCCATCGTTAGCCTGTAAGTAGCATCTTCAAATCTTGGAAACCAAGTCCAGTGGATATTTTTTGAATTTTTACTGAATAAGAACAAAGTAAAAGTTGTAGATAAGAGCTTCAGGTGTGTAACCGCTGAACTTTTTGTTTTTATTCAAAAACTTTGCAAAAAAAGAGAGAGCCCTCATGCAGGTGTGCTGAGGCACTACAGGAATAATTGATTTGACTCAAAGCTTAGTGAATTTTGTTACCGTCAAAATCCTTAGAGCATTCATCTGGACGCTGTGCAAAATGGATCATGACTAAACAATTTAGGAGTCTTTTTATTTTATATCTTGTTGAATTGCTGACTGTTTTTAAATGAATATTGGTGCATATTGTGCAGAGAAAGTATTCTTTTTTATCATTATTTAAACAATATTAATCACCCTCACTGGTTAGTGTATCCCTCTGGGGGTAATTCCCATCCTGTGTTTTTCTAATTACAAATCAGTTAAATAAAACACTTGTCAGTTTCCTTCGTTCTGTTTTCACAGACCTGGCACTAGAGCGAGCTATGTTTTCCTGCATCCTCCGGCCTTTAAAGTGTCCGCTTGAGAAAGCCCTGACAGCTTTTCACAACCAAGATGGCTCCACCCAGCTCCTCACACAGAACATGCTCCGACTGAAAGGGAACGGTGCCATGGAGAGGCTGGGCGTGCGGACCGGGGTCCCCGATATCCGAGAGGTGGAGAGGGTGAAGCAGAAACTGATCCTCATGCAGCGAACGCACTCGCCTATTGATAAGGTGCTGTTACTGCTCCAAGTGTGCAAGTTTGTGCACAAGGCGATGGGGACCTTACATGGTGAGACTCCGAAAAGTTTATTGAAGCATCTTTACGCATAGCACATATTGATTTTAATTTAAAATTCTGATCTGGACCCGGACTGGTTAAATCTCAATGTGTTTCAATCCAAAAGTACATTTCTTCAGTTTTAAATATTTTACCACAACTGCTCTTTTGACCCAGCTAAAAAAAAATATACAGGGTCTATATATAAAAAAACCTACTTATTGTATTTACACATCTGTGTCATAACTATAGTTTTTAATATGTCAATGTGGTTCATACCAAGTTTACATACAGTGTAGTTATTTCCTATGAAATAGTAAATATATCATAAAATAATGTTTTTACAGGAGAAGATGTAAGCTGGGATGACTTTCTTCCTGCGCTATCCTATGTGATAGTAGAATGTAACAGGCCTCAGCTGCTTATAGAGGTGGAGTACATGATGGAGCTGCTGGAGCCTTCCTGGCTTGGCGGAGAGGGTAAGACCCAAATCCAACCATTACTTGATGCAGCGAAATATAAGATTTACACACAGAAAATAAAGATTAACACAAGAAAAGTTTACACTTAATTGAATCGACTAATTGACTTGAAAGCAATCTCTCACACCAAGCATGCTTGTAGCAACAGTGGAGAGGAAAAACTCCCTTTTAACAGGAAGAAACCTCCAGCAGAACCAGACTCGATGTGAGCGGCAATCTGCCAAAGCCAACTGGGGTTTGAGAAGACAGAAGCAGAGATACAGAAAGAAGCAGATATACAAAAGACAACTGTCAAATAGCTCCACAGGCGGCACCGTCCAGGCAAACTCCAAGCCAGCTCTCATGTCAGCGGATGAATGCAAGCACACGCAACTAGTCATAGACAGAGAAACAGGACTACACAAAAAAAAAAACAGTTAAGCTCCAACATCTATAAACAAAGGTGTTGATGGCAGCAGCACAGCCGATATTTATTTCCAGGTTGGAGTTACAGCCAAACATGAACAGACCAGATGAAGCTACTATGAGAAAATGCAGAGAGAGCATAACGTAAGAGATTGAACTTACAAATTCTGCAGAATGGGAAAATAAAGATAGAATGAAGTAGAATGATGAAAAAGGGTCCCTATGTCCTCCGGCAGTCTAAGCCTGTAGCAGCATAACTATAGAGATAGCCTAGGATAACCTGAGCAGCTCTAACTATAAGCTTTATCAGAAAGGAAAGTTTTCAAGATTTCAAAAACTGGGAATATTTTTGCATAAGCAATGCATTATCCTAGTATTCTTTAACAAAAATGTTACTTTTTAGTCCAGGCTTAAAGCTTAAAGATGATAATTTTGCCATAATTGTTCTTTTGGTGTGTTTTTTTAATAATATGATGGAAATAAAATCTAAATTCTTCCATCTTATGGCGAAGTAACTTTCTGTAAGTGTGTCACTATCATTACGTAGAATTGATATTATCATGCTTTCATAGCATCTCGTTTTTTGAACAACTGGCTTCATTGTTTGGATTTTCCTTTGCCTAAATGCTGCAATCAGTTCAGTGTCAGCTTTGAAAGGGTAAACACCTTTTTAAAAAGTTATATAGTTATAGTCGAATAGTCTGCTAGTTAATTGGGATAATAGAGATGTTTTGTGGTGAATTTGAGAACTTTAGTGTTGTTTTTGACAAAAAATGAAATCAAGTCATTTTCCATTTTAATTCATGAAATCTTCTATATCACTGGTAGGAAATATCCAGCTTTAAATATTAGCAACTACTACTATTAGCTGCTGAATAACTAGACTTCTCAGAACCCAGATTTTGCCTAGTGCAGTAATTGGTCTTAATGACTAAGTATAACATTTTTCTCCTACCAATGTTTTTTTTTTTTTTTGCAGGTGGCTACTATCTGACCAGTGTATATGCCAGCCTGTGTCTGATCCAGAGCCTGGAGCAGGATCCACCTTTTTCTGGCTGTCTAACACCACAAGTGCAGGATGCTTTGAAGGAGTGGAGCAGTCGACGGACCCTGGAGGCCCAAAAACAAAAGGAGACCCAACAGAGCCAAGTAGGTACTCTCATTTGTTTGCAGTAACGCCACAGAAACCTTGCTTGCTTTACAAGGATTGTTGTGGAGGAATGTATTCGACTACCAGCCTGCAAAACTATAAAGCTATAAGATTTTTAGTTTTTTATCATTACTCTTATTATCAACTAAAGTCAGGTACCCAGCAATTGAGATGGGAAGGAGTCGTTTTCTAACCTTACGCTAGCAGTTGTTCCACTCTGGAACATGTTTCTGTTCATCTATTAAGTGGTCTGTTTTAGAAACTATTATATAAAACATATAAGATAGAATAAAGCAAGTTCATTTGATTAATCCGGTTGCATTTTGCTACCAATTTACAATACATGTCATCTGAAGGCACTTCACTGGGGCGACAGTGGCGTTGGATGTAGGAGTTTGCCCTGAAATCAAAGAGTTGACGGTTCAAGCCCCAACTCCGACTTTCAGTGTCGTTGTGTCCTTGGGCAAGACACTTCACCTGCATTGTCTACTGATGGTGGTCAGAGGGCCTTGTGGCGCCAGTGTACGGCAGCCCCGCTTCTGTCAGTGAGCCCCAGGGCAGCTACAGTATGGCTACAATGTAGCTTGCCACCATCAGTGTGTGTGTGAATGGGTGAATGAATATAGTGTAAAGTGCTTTGGTCAAGTCTCCTAACTTGAATAAAAGCGCTATATAAGTACATGCCATTAACTTTACAGATACAGTTCAACCATATCATACAGTCAGATTGGTAGCAAATTTTCTATCTAAGGAAAGTCAGCTGATTGCATCCAGTCTTTGGCTTTGCAGGATTCACTCCTCCTGCATGAGTCTGTGGCAACAGAATTTATTGCATTTTGTCATTGCATCTTCATTAATCCCTCAAATTGAACATTCAGGGAAAGTGGAGAGGAAAACTTCCTTTTAACAGGAAGACACCCCCAGCAGAACCAGGCTCAGTGTGAGCGGCCTTCTCTTGAGGCTTACTAAGCGTTTAAGGAGATAGAAACAAACAAACAGAAGGAACATAGAAGCACTGACCTATAAATACCTTCTGTGTTTGAAAATGTAACCGTAAACCAGCTCCATGGGCAGCTGTCTATGAAAGGAAGAGAACTATGCTTTTATATCATTTGCTTAGAGTTATGATGGATAACATCTGGTAGGATAATGATGTGTGAGTCTGTTAACCCCTAGTAATACCAGCTTGTTGCGTGTCAGAACTAATGTTTTCCCAAGTAGTTTATCTAATTAGGACAGTTCCTCTGTCAGGATTTACAGTTATCATCTTTATTATGTGCATAGCAGAGATTTGGGAATGAAATGGGGGCACGGACAGAGTGGCAACTTAAACTGGAGGTGAGCCCAGTTGGTAAGCAATACCTTCTGTAAGTTAAAGCAAATTCTCTGGACTGAATAAGATTACAATTTCTGTCAAAATCTGTTGTCATGTCTCATGGTTATTTAATATATATACATAATGAAGTGTTATTTAAAGAGTTTGACCTGAGTGATCTCTTCTATGGAAAAGAACCGGACAGAGAAAGCTCCAAGGTGTAAAGACACAGCTTTCCATAACACAGCTAAAATAAAATGTAAAAATTATATTAGTTTTCCTACTGAAAGTAAAAAAATATTTACAGCAACCTTTGATTCACACTAAAAGAATATAAAATAAATTCTAATTAACAAAAAGTTTCCAATTAATTCAGGCCCTGACTAAACTGAGTCAAAAACTGTGACCTAAAAATAATTTAGAAAAAAATGTGTCACCAAAAAGGTAAATAAAGCTACCCTAAGAGTGAGGAAGTATGTCAGGATCATAATACTGTGACTATTTCACAGAAAGACACCAAAACAGCGGAAAAAAAACACCAGGCATGCATTGAGAACTCGCAAAAGGTAAACATAGCAGCATAGTGGCAAAGAGGAGCACGCAGCTTACAGAGATGAAGATTTGGCTTCACCATTTCACAAAAGACAGAGTTTGAAATCTTAACACTTTGGGACCAGGTTTCAAATATGTCCTCATTTATTGTGTCCAAAACACTGAATCTGTGTGAACATAGCCATACTTCCCTACCCTCCTCCACAGGGATCACTGCCCTGCATTTGAATTAGGTGTGCTGGAACAGAGAAAAATCTTTGGAATATAATTGGAATATTTCCAATGCTAAGAAAACCATTATCCAAGGTAAACCCAAAGACAAAAATAATATGTCTAGTAAAAAAAAACAAAGATAAAGAGAAAAACATGATTATTTTCTATTAAAAAAAATAAGAAAGAAACAAGGACTGTATCTAAAAAAAGAAACCAGGGATACTTTCTACAGAAAATAATTTAATATAAAACTAATGGGAGTGGTCACCCTTTTTGGGGTAAACCTGTTTATAATAAACACAAAACAATGAATATATAGTACTACCTTTATAAATGATTACCCAAATTCACAGCAACTGACGTGACGCAAACGTGACATGACTCCGCCAATGCCAAAATGTGACAAATAAGGTGGAAAAGCTGTGCTCAATGCTCACAGACATATAAAAAGAGCAAAAATCTGAATAATCCCTACAAACAATATTAACACATCTGTAAATTTGCTGATAAAACTTTTTCATTAGCAGTCTAATCATTATTTTGCACAGGATTTTTTTCTTGAACAGCGTTTCTGCAGGTCAAGAGATGGGATTTTGGCAATCGCTTATAGCCGACTGAACACCTGCACCAAACATAATAACAAGCAGCTGGTAATGGCAGATAAGGTTAACATTGCAATTATTAAATACAAACAATAATATTTAAATTTGAACCCAAAAAACTCCATACATTGCTAAGGCACTTTCTGGTGTTTAGGTTTAGCAAAGTAGGTAGGGCACCCGCTCCAAAATGGAGGACATATTTAATAAGCCCCAACTGCCATTGTCTATGTCAATGCCTGTTATGTTTAGCTGCATGTGTGGGTCACCACCTGATAACCAACAGGGTAATCAACCTCAGTCCCCCTCTGAAAATGTTCAATCTTTTATTCAGATGATTTTCTATGAAATACCTGTGACAGCAATGTAATTATGACTCCAAATCCATTGAAATATGTCCGAGGTGAAGGAGGTGCAGCTTTTGCAGGAAAGGGTTTCACTTTGGTACAATTTACAGTTGCTGATTGGTCAGCTGTTGCATGAGTCCACTGGATTGATGCACAGGTGGCAACATGTCAACAGCTCCGTTAATGAGTCCATTCAGGACAGTAAAGACTTAACAGAGAAGATTGCAGGTGTATTACAGAGGTGTATTTTCAAATTCCTATGTATTTTATATAGGGGGACACAAAGATAATAGCAGCAATAGTTTTAGTGTCCTTTGAGGATTTAAACACATCTATGAAAGAAATATGAGGAGTAAACTAATTTAATTGCAGATCCATTAATGCTTTGCTCCAGGAAAGAAAAACAGCAGAACCTAAGTACTATTCTAGAAGTACCTAACTATAAAAAGAAAAGTGAAAGAGAATACATAATTAACAATAATTGCAGATATTGCAGAAACACAATTTGAAATTTTAACTTCCACAAATCTGCTCTGCTCCTCTTTTAAATGGTCAAAAGACAAAAACATTTTAAAAAAAACAACAGATAATCCGTCCACACAGGCTCAGACATCCCTGTGATTAATTACATTGATGGCAGCATCATCTAATTGTCCTACATCTGTGACGTTAGCAGGTAGGGTTAAGCTTCATCTTCGAATAATGTTTTATATCGAGTTTAAATTGCTTTTACAGATGCTTGAATGTCACAACTTGAAAGCACTGAGTGATACGTAAGCATCAAATAATTGCTGGAAAAAAAAAAGTGAGACAGCTCACTTGGACGGCCCTCCTCCCAAAATTTGGAAGGAGATTAATTTTTAGGTAATCCCTTTGATCTGGGGCTTCCAGCTTACGACTGGACTTTCCCTAAAACCATCACACACTCGCTGACATTTTGCCCACACTTCCTTTCATCACCTCCCTCTTGGCCTTCACATCGGTGTAACAGGTCCACCAGAAGCCATTAAAAAAAAAAGAGAGAAATTCAATGTCATCCACGTTTCTATCTTGTCACGTGGTGCTTCTCCTGGCTTCAAATAGCCCATCTAACTCACCCGGCAGCCAGATTTTCCACTGACACAGGCGAGGATCAGTGAGCCAAGTGCTATGAAGAGGTGGGCGGTCAGATAACATGAAATTTATCGAGCTGCATCTATCCGTCGAAGCAGGCAAACACAATATGCACACGGACAGCGAGGAGCTCAGTGACTCTGTGAGTTTTGACGGTTGAAAGACCTGTTGATTGTTATGCCTGACTGTGTGTCTTTGGTCCTCTTTGGAGTTTTTTTTTTTTTTTGCTTTTTTTTTGTTTTGGCAACTTCTACTTGTGCTTTCTTGTGGTTGGAGCCTGGAAGTGAACATGTTTGTGGGATTGTTGGCATGTTTGAGGCATAGAAGTGGCTTTGCTTTAGTTCCCTCAAGATTGGCTGTTTGGTGAAGGGATTATGTGCCGTGTCCTTTGGACAGCGTGAGTGTGTTCTCTTCAGAGAGTTGTGAGGGAGGCTGTAGGTGGTTGAATCGGACGTTATATAATGGCTAAAGGGTTTGATAAGTGGCAGTTGTTGATCTAGGCTTGTTAGTTTTAGGGCTGATTGCCTTTAATGGTTTGGAGTAGGGAAGAAAGGGAAGCCTTCTTCCTTAAAGACGGAGAAAAGTTGGGTTGCAGTCATGCTTTTGGAGGATTAATGATTAAAAGTTTGCAGCAGATAAAAGAGCAGCTAAGGGAAAATGAATTTATATAAAGCTTGTCGACCTGGCTGGCTGTGTGTGGGAAGCAGAAGCTTTGTTTCAGAGGCTGCTTCTTTTATGAGCTTCGTTTTGCCTCATTTCCTGCAGCTTTCACATTTCTCAACCTTCTCTCCTCCCCCTCTTTTGCCCTCACTCCATAAGCCTCTTGACCTCTGTTTGTCATCATTGCAATGCGTTCACTCATTTTTCTCCCTCTCTTTATCTCTCCTTCGTCTTCTTCTTCTTCTCCCTCCCTACAGAGGTGCGTTCGGATACTGTTCCAGGACGGGGAGCGGAGCGCTGTGCGGACGTTGCAGTGGAGAGCCGGGGAGACCAGCCAGGCCCTGGCGCAGCTGTGTGCGTCCACCTTCGGAGTGTCCGACCCACAGCAATATACACTTTACTGGCGCAGCGGCGGCGAGATGAGGGCCCTGCCATCCCACGCCCAGCCCCAGGACCTGGCTGGGCACAGCGAGGGGGGGCCCTCGCTCTCCTACCTGAGGACCGACCACGACTTCAGCAAGATGCGGCGGCTCACCAGAGGTGGCGCCGTGGACCTGAGCGAGTCAGTGTGCGAGGAGTGAGTGGGAGGCACAGAGGAAGGAGGAGGGGGAGATGGATGGTTGGTGTTTTTCTCTGTCTCTTTCTCTCTCTGTCTCCTCTCTCCGGCGGTGTGCTGTGCCTCGTCACGGATCGGGACTTTTTGTGAAAAACTACAGTCCTAGACCCATCCTGGTCCTAAACAGGACCGGATCAGAGCAAAGAAAACTTACTGAAAGTTCTGCCACACTTGAGGCTGCTTGTGTAAAAGGAGTGTACTATTTGTGACATGGAAAATATGTAATAAATGGATATGATTGTTTTTTTTTTCCTGCAACCTGAACCCAGAGTTATACCATGAAGGGATTACATCATTAAGAGACGTGGAGGCTCAAATCCAAAGAATACAAATTCTGCGAGACTACTGTTGCCTGGAAACAAAACCACTTCCTGTACGCACTTAGGGAGGCAAATTGTCCAAGGTGGTGATGTAACCCTTTTACGGTGTAAGTCTGGGTTAAATCTTAAAGACACTTGGATGTATTATTGCTTCACTTTCTGTGCAAAAATTGGCTGATGTTTAACGGTGGAGATGCAACCTTTTCTGTGGTTTGCGAGATTTGTTATAGCCAAGACCAAACTGCAGTACCAAAGTGACATGCATCAAGAAGAGGGGAGATTTGGGCAGTCTAGTTTGAAAAAAAAAATGGGATTTGAAATGAGCTGTGTTTAAGAACCTCCTGCAGAGATGGTTTTATATTTGCTTGTTGGAGACAAGGCTCAGTTTTTTGCTGGTGAAATACCTAAATGAAAGGAAGGTGACAAAAAAGTTTCATTTGTTTTATGTCTAAGGCCATGTCTACACTAATAAGGGTATTTTGAGATATGGGCAATGGAGAGGAAATATTGTTGAGATTTACCAAGGCTGCAATCACAATAAAAATGAGGGAAGGATTATTTTAAAAATCCTCACACACCTTTTTGTTTCCATCAGGGCTACATCAAGTTGTCAATCCGTAAAGCCAGATACCACACAATTATTCTTTGATCAAATTATTGGCGATGGATGAATATGACAATTAGTCATCCTACTCCTGTCAAAAGAAAAACAACACATTTTGGGAACCGAATTTTAAAATTAGTCATCAACTTAGAGATTTTTTTTTTTTATTTAGATGTTTAATGAGTAAATAATTGAAAAGCCTTTCAGAGAACCTTAAAGGCCAAAACATACTCTGGGCGAAAGATTTGTTCTCTATCACAGGAACAATTAATGGAAGGCAAGCTTATTTTCTTTAAGTTTTATTGACACATCATCAGGGCTGATCTGTTTCTCTTATGTGGAGCCTAAAAACTATTTAGTGATTGGTCAGAGATTGAACTTTAGGGATTGAAATTTAGGAATTTCAAGAGATTGAAATTTAGGGATATTTTATCCTTAGGAAATGTGGACTTTTACACTTTTAGATTTCAGGAAGACTTTTAAAAAAAATGATAGCTTTGCTCTTTTACTTACAACTATGAAGTTCTTTCTTGCTGAGACACTTTATTTGTTGTCAGTAAACTCTTGTGCTCACAGAACGATGGAAATCTGGCTATGCATTAACCATGCCTGCTTTATATTTTTGGCAAATTGCAGAACCCCGGGTAAAGGTGCGTTCACACTGAGTGCTAAAGAGGCAAATGAGGCAAGTTGTTTACATACAAAGGCCCAATCAGTCGGCGATGCAAATGGGGACTGGATATGGATGTGATGTAGGGTGAAGGAGTACAGTAGAGACACTTTTTAGTTATAAACTCACCGGAGGTTGATCTGTCCCTTTCCACTGGTACAGCATTTCATGATAGTGAGACATAAGGAAGTATCACTGGAAATGATGATCTGGCCACATATCCTGGCAGTGGTACTGGCTAAACTGAGACCAGACCTGGTGGCCCCAATGATGCTGGCATCAACTCTGTTGTTCAGCTTCACAACACAGAAGACAGGACTTTACGATGCGAGACTCTCAGCATCAGAAATACCCATAATGCAGCACCAGTTTTCTGCTAGCATAACCACAAGCTAGCAACTACAATGGATGAATGATGCAAAGATTATTTGGGGCAAAACTGGCAGAAATCGTTCACTGATGGCTTGACATGTTTCACTACAAAATTACAAAAACGGAGCACAACTTTTGGAGTTTTTGTGTCACATCTGTAGTTATCTGATGACGCTGACCCTGGTAGTCCTGTCTTTGAAATCAAGCTGTACCAGCCATTTATCATACTGATGCATAGCATATGTATCACAAAGGTACATACTGTGTATACATCGTATCAGTATGGCTGGCCAGGCTAGTAATGAACAGGAAGTAAAGGCTGCAATCGAGCGCTGACCACAGATCAGTAATGGAGGAAAGAGCTAATGAATGTGTTGCTATTGGGGAAGTTGTTCTTATATTCACATGTCAGCTAGTAATGGGGTTGTTGCTTCCAGCCATGTTGATGGGCATGATAGAAACATCGGGAAAGATTCCGACATCAGAAACTGGGGATCAGTCATGTAAGTTATAAATTGTTTGTCAGAGCTGATTAAAAAAATGTGTTTCCAATCTCCTGGTTTGCGCAAAAATCACCTCAAATGAACGTAAAACTCTTTTTTTCTTTTTTCAAATGTTTTTGTTTCCATTAAGCTTTTCTAATGCAATACTTCAACATTTTTAAAGAAGCTGATGGAAACACACCTTCTTAGTGTAATAATGTTATTATCTTGCAGTCCTGGTATGAGAGCTCATTTTTGGCATAATGTTTCTTCTACAATATATGATTGGTCAGAAATTTTGCAGTGGTCAGTCTTCTGACATATATTGCTTTGGGACTTCCTGGGAGTTCTGTATTGGAGTGGCTTGTAAAGTATGAAATATTGACAATGTTTTCTCTTGTAAGCAAAGGTATCTTTTTTTTCAGATTATGACCAAAACCTTAAACCTAGCACTACTTTTAGCCATGCTCAGGTAATATCAGTTAGGTTATTGCCACCTGCTGGCCTAGTGTTGGGATTTCCTTTTTTGATTGGAATAAAAAATAGTGAATGCTGTTTTTTTTTTTTTTTGGGGGGGGTGGATGGGTTCTCCAACAACAGATGAAAATAAGCTCTGGAGATGTGTAGCTGGGAAAGTAAAAGCACATAACTGCAACAAATTCATTAACTTATTGACTGACTCGCGAATGTATTAAATAATTATCTTTTTCCTGCATTCATTCCATTTTTCTTATTCTACTCTAAAGTTCTGCTGTTTCTCTTGGCCTAAGTGTAAGATGAAATATTGTGTTCTTAACCCACAATAAGGACCTTACGAGGACTGAAAGGTCCTCATCACCAGCTTCTGGGACTCCTGCTGCAAGTTATCAATGCCAACGGACTGTTTGACTCTCTCGTTGATGCTCTAAGATATATACATATATATATATATATATATATATATATATATATATATGTATATCATATTGTGAATTCAAAACTAAATTGAAATAGTTTGGTTTGTTGTGTGGATATGAAAGTGTCAGATCTGCAACATATCTGGCGTTTTTAATCCAGCTGAAAAGGTTTGTTTTTGAGAGCTATGATGTGAACATTGTTGCATGCTTTCTCATTCAAAGTGAAGGTTGACCTCTGTATGTATGCGTGTGGGCGTGTTGATGTGAGGGAGTGTGTGTGAAGCATGTGTTTTCTGTGAGAGCTCACCGATTCTTTTCAATGTAAAGAACACACATGACTGTATTTTGTCAGGTAATGCAGTAACGCAATAAAAATTGCAATATCTGTACCAGTGGCATGTGCTTCCAGTTTTGCTGTGAAGATGGACTGTGTCCTTGACCAGTTTTACCGCTAGATGGCAGCAAATCTTTTTTTTGGCTTTAACAAGTTTTTTTTTAGCTGAGGGTTTCCTTTAAAGATATTACAGATTTTAAATCGAGCCATTGGACACAGCATAGCCTTTTCATGTGCTTCGAAATTTATTTGCACCTCATTCAAATGACACCTGCTCAGACACTAGTGACAACACTGAAATAACCAGCAACATGTGGGGGTTTTAGAGAAAAACAAGATCAAATGAAAATTTCCTATCTAAATTAAAATGTTATTGTACAGATATACTTTTTCAAATGGGTAGAAATGGAATCAAATCTTGATCACATAGGGAGATTATGCCTTCCCCGATCTCCTACTTTGCTCATCAGTCCCAGGGGTCCAACTGCAGATGGCACCCTGTAAGTAAAGAAATGTCTTCTGTGGCAATTAACTTATCAAAGGTAAATAAGTGCAATGATTGTTTTACGGGTTTTTCAGTAAATTATATATATAAACAGAGATGAGGAAAAGGCAAAGCATTAAAAATTGTAAGAAATAAAACCAATAGGGTGTGAATGATAAAATCTCAGCTAATTAGCTGATGCTGTTGTTTATTATTGTTTCATCTGATTCCTCCTCCCAGCTTTTGCAGCACCCCCAGACCCTTCTCATTGTATTCCTCCCGACTCAGCCAGAAGGTATCCTTGTCTTTCATGATGTTGGCCAGCACAGCTCCTCCCAGGAACACCATGTGCTTGCGTCTGGGCGGATCCTCGATTCGGATCTTGAATTTCTGCAGAAGTGTACGGAGAAACTGAAGTGAGGAAACAGTATGATAACAGAACACATGCAACCTCAAAATTCATTTTAATATTTTAGAGGTCCAATTATGCTTTAGGTTTATTTTTTTCAAAGATGCTCCCATAATTTTCCACCGATACCCTGAGAATGAAAAGCCATTTAGGTTCTATTTCAGAAAAGCATTGCCTACCCATGACACTTCCACCTCTATGTTTCACAGCTGGTATAAAGTTATTTTCTCGTACGTTTGTATTTAGTTTATGCTGAACATGCCCTCTCTTTAGGTTTACAAATTAGCCAATCTTATCCGCTTTTATCCAGACCATTTTTTTTTTTTTATTCTGATCTTTATCTACGATCCTGTAGACAGACATAGACAGAATGCAGATTACTCAGAGGATATTT